GAGTTTTTTTAATTTTTATTTTAAAGTGTTATGTTCCTTCAGGATGTAGAAGGTCACGGCTCTCTACACATTCCTTTGTTTTAATTTTTTGTGAATAGCCTTGCCTTTTCAGAAGAGAAAGTAGAGTGAATTCTCGCTACCTTCTTTAACAATTAACAATTGTCCTTCTCTTAAACTGGTTGCTATCAATGCTAGTGAGGCTTGTCTACCCTGCTATTTAACTCGTAGATGGGTGATAATAACACGCCTTTCATAAGGGTATTAGAGTGAAAGTAAACGTAAGAGACGAGGTTAGTATTTGAACTCTGTTCGCTGATTCCGCTAACCAGGGCAATAACCATTACGTCATATCCAGACTTTTCGTAACTTGTTTTAAAAATATTTAAATAAATTAAACAAATGAATTGATAGATTTTACAAGCTCAATCAGCATTACTTATCAAAAGTTCCTTTTTTTTATACGCCTATCCAAAGACAACAATTTTATTATTTTCTTGGGCGAATTTTCCAGTTTGGTCCAAAATGTGTGGAGAAAAGGTGTTTGGCAATACAAGGGAGATAACTTAGATATCCATGACTGTTAATCGATATCAATCAGACGCCCATCCTCTGATTTATAACCATTCATCCAGATTCACTTCATTTGTTTTGGTTGTACGCCTGACCTGCAGGCATCTCTAGAAAAAGCAACAATTTTAAAACTAAAGTCATTTTTCTTGAGCAAATTAGGACCAGCACCTCTCCCAATACAGTAAAATAAATAAAATAATAAATAAATTAATTAATGATAATAAAAAACAAAATAAATAAAATGATTAAAATCGACAGAAAAGATAACCTAGAACCGTCAAGGGCATGAAGCCACTTTGGTTTTCAAAATGGCGCGCCCAGTTTCACGTGTAAAATAACGTTCATTAAAATTTTGTGTTTCGTTTTATTCTCACTTGTTCACTCAGATACGCTCATGCATAACTGCATAAATAAACAATAATGAAGTACAATGTTTCTTTAATTTTGTAAACTTTGTCAAAGGTTGTTTTTATTATTTTAAACCATTGGCGTTTTTTGAATATGGAAGATCATAAGCGTAAACATCTTTTGCTTTAGAAACAGGAAACGTTCATAATTGTTTTCTATGGAGAAGAAATATATTTTTATATTATTTTTTTAATTTTTAAATGAATAAATTAGAAACAAATTATACTCAACTGTGTTTGTTAATCACACTGTCATTAGTGATAATATTATCAGATAAAAGATAATTATTGAAAAATCTATTCTCCAAAGGAAAAAAAAAAAACTTTTCCCCCTTTCTAAGATAGATGCTTACGCGTATGGTCTTCCGTAGTGAAAATTGTTACGACACCTTCAAAAAAATATTACCTTGAATTTTTTTATTCGTTCATCACGCTTTATGATGAGTCATATCTCATGCAGCCTTCTTGCCGTAAAAGGGTGCCCATGCACAACTTAAATGTTGATAGGAGTTAAGGATAGAAATAAAAATAATTGTAATAGTCATAATTTGTTCAAATGTCACAGGTAAGTGTTTTCATTATACATATTTGGCTGCGTTTGATATCATATAAGACCACCTACCATTTATTAGCTATGATAAGCCATAACAAATTTCCATTTTGGGGGTTCAATTGCAATGACATATCACCCTAACTATTAATGACAGTTAAGAATAAATTTGAAATAAACTAACATGCCTTCTTTCTTGCATTGCAGTGGCAGCGTACACAGTGGATAAAAAGAAAAATGTCGTTCTCCTACCTGAGAACGCAAGGCCGTACACAGCAAGAATAACATAGGAAAAAAAATAATAAAACTCGGTTGTATTCCACCCGCCATATTCATCTGACCATGCACCTACCTATTATTGCCAAAAGCTTCTATGGGGACAATTCTATAATGAGGTCTTCATTAGAGACTTTTTCGCCATAAAAGTGTTTGGCAAGAGTTCATCGAAAACCTTTTACAAAAAAAAAAAAAAAACAGAAAAATATTGATAAACAAAAACGGAAATTATTTATGAATCAACTTAATAGAATTAAAATAAAATATTATATTCAGGTAGTCTACGGTGTCTGATACCAGATATTACAACTTCGAATATAAGACGTCAGTGATATTTTCTTTCATTTTTTTTTTTTATCTCTTAGTAAGAAAAATTAATAATCTTAAATTATCTGAATTTCTTAGACGAGGCATTGTCACTTATTCATTTTGGACTCTATTTTTTTTTTTTTCGTATTGTTTGTTTTCATACGTCGGTGACTAATTTTCTTTTTCTGCCTACTTAACGAGCATAAATTATAAAAACGACCTGAGCGTTGCAATAAAAAAGCAATGAAACTGCAAGACAAACTCAATAAAATTGTTATATTATTATTATTATTATTATTATTATTATTATTATTATTATTATTATTATTATTTCATTTGATTTCTGTTGTATACAGATTTCCTTTCTTCCTAAGGTCAGAAATAGCTTCATGACATTTTCCACTGATCAAAAAAAAAAAAAAAAAAAAAAAAAAAAACTAAAATAATACATATTGTAGATCCAGCTATTGATTCAATTTATTGGTCCCTATGTACACTAGTGGCATTCCAGCCTTGCTTGGGGTGAAATGATTAAAAAAAAAAAAAAAGAAAAAAGATTACCGTATATACGCGCGTATCATGCGACTTTTGAAGACCTAATTTTAAAACTAATTTGTCTGTAGAAAGTTATAATTTTCATTTCAGAAATAAACATGGTCCTAATTTTTGATACTTCCCCCACCCCTATATGTCGTTTCGGCTTTTTAACTTACTGATAAAGTTTAAGTATGTTTGGTGTGTATTTTAATTATACTAGTATTATAATTGTATACAAACTAGATTTATAACTTTAAAAGTGAGTCACTGTGCAACATGTAATTTTGTGGGGGTCGGCTAAACCAAAGGCACTCCCGGGCGGCACACACTCTAGCTATACCACTGGCTCTATTCCTGATAAGGAGCACTTTAACCATGAAATATACCATTCCTTGAAACTATATTTTTACCACACACACAGACACACACACACACACAGAGACACACACAGACACACACACACACTATATATATATATATATAACGACCCGTAAGGTAAATAATTAAGGTAATAATTAAATTTTAATTAATTCTCTGCATGAGTAATAAATGATTTTTATCTATACAATTAAATGTAGTCTCATATTCAAGAGAGGATTCTGATTTTTTAAATGATTAAAGCAAACATATCCAAAGACAGTCAACTTGCCATAAAAGAAATATAAAGTAATGTATTAGCGACCTGTTGTGACAACGGGTTCATACTTTCAAATGAATATTCTCCTGTTGTTGTAAAATGAAGCATGTTTGCTTTTTGATATCGAGTAATGCTTCCTGTAACCATACCACCAAAATATATCCATAAATAGGGTAGTTCAGGTTGTGTAACCGATAAATATAGAAGGCAACATTATGTTTTATATAGAAAACACAATTTTATATATTTTGTAGTACAATACGTTTGTTAAAAAGTGATTGAAATTAAGATGAAAGAAATATTAGAAAAACGGAGTACTAATTAAGAAAGATTCATTTAAGAAATTCAGATCAGTTATGCCTATGTTTACTAGGTGTAAAAGGAATCGAACAAAAGAAAACCTAGACAAAAATGAGTAATGGTTGACAGTACTTCATCTAAGAATAAAATTCAAGATAATATTACTACCAATACTACTAATAACTAAAGTAATAAAAATCAATTGAAATTAAGATGAAAGAAATCTTAGTAAAAAAAGGAATAATTGTTGACAATGCTTCCTCCAGTAATAATAAAATTCAAAATAATATTACTAATAATAATATAATAAAAACCAAGAGAAATTAAGATGAAAGAAACACTACTAAAATTAATAATAGTTGACAATACTTCATCTAAAGAACTTCCTAGATTATTTAATTAAATACTGCTTGTGTAAATAAAGACACGGAGTGGCGGTGTAGCGAACGTTGAATTAAGGAATATAGGTATAACTTGTTTGAAGGACACGTACCAGTGCAACCTAGGTAAACACGTCGATAATGGCGTTCTAATCGAAAAGCACGATTTCAGTGATCGTTTTTTTTGGGGGGGGGTTCTTCTTTTTTGCTCATGTTCGTTTCATAGTTGGCTATTTAACGGTTGTAGAATAATGATTAGAGAGTTGTGAAAAAGAAAAGAAAAAAAAAATGAAAAAAGAAAAAGATGAAAGAAAAACTAATAAAAAAATAATAATAAAGTTCCTCTCTCTTGATTCTTAGCCAAATCTGAATTGTTTAAAATTGCATTTCTTTCAATTTGAAAGGATATTTTTTAACACCTTTTAGCACCAATATTATTTTTCGTTGATATATATATATATATACATACATTCATATATATATATATATATATATATATATATATATATATATATATATATATATGTGTGTGTGTGTGTGTGTGTGATATAACGATATATAATTTTATATATCAACAAACAGTATTTAGAAAATAGTATGACAAATCGGAAAAAAATTTTGTGACACATTTCATCCGTTAGATTTCATCAGACTGGGATTTGTTGATGTTGTCACGTCTACACATGCGCGCGAAATGAGAGACATATATATGTGTGTGTGTGAGAGTGTGTATATATATATATATATATATATATGTATGTATGTATATATATATATATATATATATAGGGGGGGCGGAGGATAAAATGAAGACAAGTTGCGTATTTTCAAAAAAGGAATGTTACGTAATTATTAACCTTGGTTTGTTGGTTAACAAGTGAAAATGTCTTTTGAAAGAGAACGCCGGAAAAAAATAATTAATTGTCTGAAGTGAGCGTTTGGAGATATATTTTGTCCGTGGATTTAACCATGTGAATAGAGTATAAATGGTAAGTGGTCATCTGAAAATTTGAACTGACGCTTGTCGTAGAATTTCAGTAGCACCGGATTTCGAGGGTGATTGTGTTTAAGATGTAGGTAATGGTTTTCCGGAAGGGCTGTTGTGTTTCCGCAGTCTTCGCAGACATAGAGTTTGGACCGTCGCTCTTTGTGACCATAATCGACGGTAATGCCGTGGACCTTGCGTCCATGAGATTCAAGGGAACAGCGCTGGGTAAAGGACTTACCACAGACATCGCATTTGAAGGGGCGGACGCCTGAATAGAGAAAAGTTGCAGACAAAATAAAGCAAAAGCTATTGATAGGAAAAAAATGCAGACAAATCATAAAAAAAAATGAGACGAAAATTTAAAAGATGAAACTGTAAATATAAAACCAAAATATTAAAAGGTGAAATCTTGAAAAAAAATTAAGTTGTTATTTCAAAAATAAAATAATAATTTAAAAAATAAAATTAGAAAAAAAAAAATGGACTGAAAATTAAAGGAGGAAATTTTTAAAAATTAAAAGAAGAAATTAAAAAACAAGGTGAAATTTAAAAAAATAAAAATAAAAGGTGAAATTTTTAAAAAAATTAAAGGTGTATTCTAAAAAAAATAAAAGGTGAATTTTTAAAAAAATAAAAGGTGAAATTTAAAAAAAAATAAAACGCGAAATTTAAAAAAAAATAAAACGTGAAATTTAAAAAAAAAACGTGAAATTTAAAAAAAAAAATAAAACGAAATTTAAAAAAATAAAACGAAATTTAAAAAATAAAACGCGAAATTTAAAAAAAATAAAACGTGAAATTTAAAAAAAAATAAAACGTGAAATTTAAAAAAAAAATAAAACGTGAAATTTAAAAAAAAATAAAACGTGAAATTTAAAAAAAATAAAACGTGAAATTTAAAAAATAAAACGTGAAATTTAAAAAAAAAATAAAACGTGAAATTTAAAAAAAAATAAAACGTGAAATTTAAAAGAAAATAAATGGATAAAAGGTGCATTGCTAAGAAACGAGAACAGAGGAAGAATAATCAGGAGTACAGTAGACAGCGATTGAATTGCATTTAAATATTTGCAGATGAAAGTTGATCGAAAAGCATAGAGCCGGAAGCACGTTCCACCAGCAAGAAGTGCGATAAAAGTAACTGTTAGCATAGAATTTACAGTTATAAATAGCTATCTCAACTGTAATATGATGAGACCTCGTCGTCAGTCTAGTGCTACGCTTAAATTCGAGGAGCAATATTTATCCTGTTATGTACAGAAAATGTGGCACAAGGCCTAAATGGGAAATGGGAGAAAAGGACGGTCTACTTCTGTCTTAACGTTAAACTTAGCTAGCCACATTTACAGATCCAAATATACCAACAATATTCCTTACACAAAAACAACGCAGTCTTATTTACCTTTCTTACTACATCCATCACAATACTTCAATGATTCTATGAAAGTCCTAACTAGTCCCGATATGTACAATTCATTGTCTGTGGGAGCGGTTGGAATAAAACAACAGATTTAAAAATCTAATTCTAATGAATATTTAAAAAAAGTACAAAAGTATTTACAAGAAACTAAACAAAATAATGATAATAATAAACTCCTTTGCAATCCCTACACGTGGCAGAAACATCAGTTAAGTGGACGAAATCAATGCGGGACTTTAATAATATAAAACCTTCATTCATCCCAAGCATTCACTCAAACACACACTCATTCAAACACAACAACAAATACGAAAAACACACAGGAAACGAAAGGCGCCCCGCATTCACCAGAGAACTGACATCACTGACCACCTAACGATGGAGGGGATGGGGAATTAAACCAAAGAAAAATGGGGACAGGAAAAAGAGGGATGTGTGCAACATTACGGCGGTGGGAAAATGACTGAAGCCGAAGCGCCAGATCGGGACCAATAATATTGCCTATTCTTCTTTAGATTTTATCATGATCTCTCTCTCTCCCTCCCTCCTCTCTCTCTCTCTCTCATATATATATATATATATATATATATATATATTGAAAGTCATGCCAGCGATGTTGGGTAGTCTCTGAGACATCGTAGATGAAAATGTAATGTCCACGTTTTGGATGAAGAGCTGGAGCCACTCTTAAACATTCGTCGACCAAGAAGCTGTTCTTCCCCAAATTATGAGGTTCGGTCAGTCTTTGTGAATCGAGTCAGATCAGGGACCAATAATATTGCCTATTCCTCTTTTAGATTTTATCAAGGAGATCCTCCCATCTCTCTCTCTCTTTCTTTCTTTCTTTTTCTCTTTCTTTCTCTTTCTCTCTCTCCCTCTCTCTCTCTCTCTCTCTCTATATATATATATATATATATATATATATATATATATATATATGTGTGTGTGTGTGTGTGTGTGTGTGTGTGTGTGTGTGTGTGTGTGTGTGTGTGTGTGTTGAAAGTCATGCCAAAGATGTTGGGTAGTCTCTGAGACATCGTAGATGAAAATGTAATGTCCACGTTTTGGGCGAAGAGCTTGGAAGTCGCTTCTAAGCATTGGCCGAGAGTAAACAACGAAGACAGCTGAATTAAATGTAATCTTGAATATGCAAAATTCAGGCCTCGTGTTGTCATCTAATCGGCACAACGATTTCATTACACGATATTTATTGTAGTACAAAAAATAAATCCAAACATCGGTGTGGGGAGGAAGCTAATGATACAATACGTATCTACTTAAATCCATTTTGTTATCACGAACTAATGGAACACCAGGAAGACGATACTTCTACAGTAGTCTAATATGTTCAAATGATAAAAAGAAGATGAAAACTAACTGAAGTTATTTCTATACTTCTGAAATTCGCTCGATAGAACAATAACCCTGACCTCCACCAGGCGTTCGATTTCGAATTTGAAACCTCTCAGGTTTCATTTTCTTGCTTTTCAACTTGAGCTAACCCTGATATGTTTTCTTGTGCTATGCGATCTCATCGTTGTAGGTCTAAAGTCAAGTAATACGAAACAACCTACTAACCTGTATCGACCTTTCTTACTTTGATTTAACTAGTTTGTGTGTGTGTGTGTGTGTGTGTGTGTGTGTGTGTGTGTGTGTGTGTGTGTGTGTGTGTGTGTGTATGCAAATCATGGACATGTTCCCACGCCGGTCATTACTGATCTGTAGGTAAAAAGGAGCGGAAATCGAAACCAGATAGGCGATTTCTCCCATGGCACGAGTTCAGCGAACCGGCGATGGCAACGGTTTTGTTACATCTAGATTAAAGATTAGTTGGACTAAATGCATGTAACGTGAATCCGTTAAAACACGGCAAAACGAGCATCCGATACAGAGAACCTATACAGAACAGATTTTAAATGATAGATAGATAGATAGATAGATGATAGATAGATAGATAGATAGATAGGAAACAGAATTAGACAGATATGAATAGAATTATATATATATATATATATATATATATATATATATATATATATATATATATATATATATGCATATAGATAGATAGATAGATAGATAGATAGATAGATAGATAGATAGATAGATAGATGTGAAGAGAATGAGATAGATATGAAACAATGAACAGAATAGAATAGATATGAACAGAATGAGATAGATAGATAGATAGATAGATAGATAGATAGATATGAACAGACTGAGATACATAGATATGAACACAGATTGATGGATAGATGTAAACAGACTGAGATAGATAGATAGATAGATAGATAGATAGATAGATAGATAGATAGATAGATGTGAAGAGAATGAGATAGATATGAACAATGAACAGAATAGAATAGATATGAACAGAATGAGATAGATAGATAGATAGATAGATAGATAGATAGATAGATAGATAGATAGATATGAACGGACTGAGATAGATAGATAGATAGATAGATAGATAGATAGATAGATAGATAGATAGATATGAACAGACTGAGATACATAGATATGAACACAGATTGATGGATAGATGTAAACAGACTGAGATAGATAGATAGATAGATAGATAGATAGATAGATAGATAGATGTGACCAGAATGTGATAGAAACAGAATGAGTTAGACATGAACAATATAAGATAGATAGATATTCAATAATAGATAGATATGAACAGAATGATATATATATATATATAGATAGATAGATAGATAGATAGATAGATAGATGTGAAGAGAATGAGATAGATATGAACAGAATTAGATAGATATGAACAGAATTAGATAGATATGAACAGAATGAGATAGATAGATAGATAGATAGATAGATAAATAGATAGATAAAACAGAATGTGTTAGACATGAACAGTATAAGACAGATAGATGTGAACAGAACGAGATAGACAGATAGATAGATACAAACAGAATTAGATATGAACAAAATTATATAGATAGATAAATATGGAAGGAAATAGATAGATTTACTTAGGTCAGATTGGTTAATCTAGCAATATACCAAGCATTGTTTGATTATTTAATGTCGAATATAAATCACAATGAAGTAATAATAAAACCAGTTTACATGGGAGTCAAAACGTTAGACATTGGCCTGTTTTCCCTAAATCAACAAAGTAGTTGTAGGTTCGATTTATACTAGAGTCAATTTTACACAGGTCCAATTTGTAGGTCCTGTTTACGTTAGAGTGAAAAAGGTTTTCTCTGGTCATTCCCTAAAACTTACCCGTATGTATTCGCGTGTGACGCTTCAAGTCGAATGTATCATTGAAACCTTTACCGCAATATGAACACAAATATTGTTTGATATTGCTGTGGGATTTGATGTGTCTGTTTAGCAGTCGTTGGGTGTGAAAAGTCTTTGCGCACATACTACAACGAAATCTCTCGTCTGTCGTCTTTTCGCCTGCACAAGAGAAAGCAAATATAATTGTTAGTGTTGGAAACATGTATGGAATAAAATATTGTGCGAAGTTCGAATCCAGGTGAAGGAACTATTAACTTATGATAGTAATTCCAAATTATGCAACATAATCAATGGAACATGACATGACCAGTCTTAATTGTTTTATTACCCTTCACGCAGAATTCTTTCACTGCCAGTTCAAGAAAGAAAAAGAGAATGTCTAATATCGAGAATAATAGATAATCATAATAAATAATCATAATAATCATAAAAGATAATAATAATAGATAATCAAAATAGATAATCATAATAGATAATTATAATAAATAATCATAATAATCATCATAGATAATGATAATAGATAATCATAATAATCATAATAGATAATCATAATAGATAATCATAATAATCATCATAGATTATCATAATAGATAATCATAATAATCATCATAGATAATCATAATAGATAATTATAATAAATAATCATAATAATCGTAATTAATAATCATAATAGATAATCATAATAATCATAATAGATAATCATAATAAATAATCATAATAATCATAATAGATAATCATAATAATCATAATAGATAATCATAATAATCATCATAGATAATCATAATAGATAATCATAATAATCATAATAGATAATCATAATAAATAATCATAATAGATAATCATAGTAAATAATCATAATAATCATAATAGATAATCATAATAATCATAATAATCATCATAGATAATCATAATAATCATAATAGATAATCATAATAAACAATCATAATCAATAATAGATAATCATAATAAATAATCATAATAATCATTATAGATAATCATAATAATCATAATAGATAATCATAATAAATAATCATAATAATCATCATAGATAATCATAATAAATAATCATAATAATCATTATAGATAATCATAATAGATAATCATAATAGATAATCGTAATAGATGTTAAATAAACAAAACTGGTTTAAAACTTGTAAAGAAAGAATATACATTATTGTCAAGATACCTACTAAATTTACTTGCAGTCGAATTGAGGTCCAAGCGTGTTGAGGATAAAAGCGGGTTCCTGAATCCATTGCCACCGTTCACAAGCTCAACTTCAAAGTAACGTGTTTCCTGAAATAAGTTTAAAAAAAAAGGTGCATGAAATCATTTTCTTTGAATGTTCAGAAAGTAATATCATCATCCCCCTCCCAACCATAAATACTTGGAGAGTAGTCAGTGAAATATGGTTTCGTTTATTACCGTTTTTAGAATAAAACTATACAATTACAGATCGTTATTGCTCAAAATGTGCGGTGTGATATAATGAATAACGGCTCAGAATCTAGAAATCGGTGAGCCGAGTTCGAATTCCAGTCGGGTTCATTACATTCTTGAATCCATCTCTACTCTCCTTCCACAGCTATGCGTTGAATAGCAGGGGAGACTGAGTACTATAGCCTTAGTTGGCAACCAGTCTATAGAAGAAAGAGATAGCAACCTTCTACGAGAAAATGTTCTGTCTAGTCCAGGGGTTCCCAAACGATGCGGCGCGCTTCAAAGGTGCAACGAAAGATGGTAACAGGTGAGGCGGAATGACTGAATGACAATCAAAGATTTAGAAACAGTTCTTTAAAATTCCTATGCCAAAAATAAATATGATTTCAAAATTCAAAATATTATTCTGGATTACTTGTAATTGCATGCATGAGTTCCAGTATAAATAGATATAAATAATTATTGACTGATTTTATCATTGGGATATTTTTGCATTATATCAAGTATTAAGAATATAGTAACTAGGCTCCGCAAATTGGAGGAGAGAGTTATCAATGATAATGTTCGGATTTTGTTTCCTTCATTTCTCTCTCCCTGAAACTTCTTTGCTTGCACCTTTTCAGTTCAGACAAATATCAAAAAACCAATAATGGGAAAGGCTTCTTTGTGTTGATGAGAAAATGAGAGTTTGTTTATGTCAAATTAAGCCTAATATAAAGGATATTACTCGTCAAAAACAAGTTAATACCTTTCGTTAAATTTGTGTACTTTAATCATACTATAAGTTATTTGTGTTATATATTATATTCAATGTACTATTTAGTAGTTGTTTTTTTTTTATATTTTTAAATATTATCACGTAAAATTTGGTGAGGTGAGAGCAAATTTTAATTCCGAAAATCCGTCCCAGATGAAAAAAAAAAAAAAAGTTTGGCAACCACTGGTGTAATCAGTCAGGAATCGCCCGACAAGCGGACAAAGAATAAAAATGGCCAGAAAGGCATGCCGTCATTTTGTTAATAAGAACCATGTGGTCTTTTAACACATGCCAATGCATGCACAGATTGGGCTGAATTCAAAAAGTACAACGCCTTAAAATTTTAATTTAATCAGATTACGAGAAGACTTTCTTGATCTCAGAATTTTTTATTGATTTAATATTTATTTACTTTTTTTATTCTTCAATAGGTGTACATAGGTTTACCCGTATCGTCCTGTTCACACTCCTTCTTCGTCTATTGAAAAGGAGTAGAGGGTTACCCTTGCCTCTTGTTTAGGATTGAGTTCCTGATTCCTTTTAAAGTCTTTTCACCCCTAGACCCTTGCGTCTTAGTGGTATTATTGCGTCTTAATTCGTTGATTAATTCGTTTTCAAACAGCTTATCGATAATTTGCAGATTATTTAAAACCAGAAAAATATTTTTTTAGATTGTAAGAATGTTTTTTTTTTAGATGATAATGGTTTAATGATACAAGTTTTATTAATTCTAAAGAGATGAGATTGTTGCCTTCTTCAACGCTATTTGTAAAAACTGAATATAACTGAACCCAATCGGTTCTTTTGGACAATATTTGCATTCTTCGTCTGTTTATATTTCGAGATGAAACAAGCCTAATTATTTACACTATTTACATTCGTTCAGACCGTTGTCTTCATCTTTATTGTCAAATTCACGACGTTTCGGCCGAGGAAGCGGTTGACTTTCTTCAGGATGTGTTTATAGGAATGAGATGAGGCATTATAACTATTTACACTATTTACATCGGTCGACTGTTGTCCCTATCTTTATTGCCCCATTACGATGTTTGGTTTTTTTACGCCCGGCCTTCTTCAGGACCTGTCCATATTTCTGAGAAGAGTGAATGAAAAATATTTACACTATTTACATCGTCTGTGAGGGTTGTCCTCATCTTTATTGATATATTGTTCACGTTTTCAAAATTATAGACTCCGGCCTTCTACATTTATTATTATTATTAAATTATTATTAAAGAATATAAATATATACCTTTGAATGTTTTGAAGAAAATATATGTCCTCTGTGTTTGAGTGTCGAGGATCCCAGCCCTTTAGGTGATAAAAGCATTTTCCCGTGGAAAAAGGACCGATCAAAATGTCGCGAGGGTTGACCGATCAGGCATTGGGATGAAAAGTTCTGATTACGCCGGCTAACACTTGAATTTGTTCTCATTGAAAATGTCCGTCACACACTTAACAGGGGGGTCTGCAACGAGAAAAAAATTGCTTTCTTCATTTATTTAAATTTTCTCTGATATCAATGGAACCTCACTAGAAATGTGACTTATTTTGAAATGGAAAGTAAATCAACAAAGGGTTATATAGAAAATTATTGACAACGTTTCATATTGTGAGTAAATCGACATGTGTTCATATTGAGAGCACGTCGGAAAAGTTCATATTGTGACTAAATCAACAATTCAAATCAGAGTAAACTGAAAAGTTAATATTTGAGAGTAACAAAGCTTTAGATTGAGAGTAAATTGACAAAGGTTCATATTGAGAGTAAATCGACAATAGTTCATATTGAGAGTAAATTAACAAAGGTTCATATTGAGAGTAATTTGACAAGGGTTATATTATAAAGGAATAATGTGTCACTGTCGACACTTGAGTATGAATATAGATCGCCAGTGAGCAAACACAGGAGATCCCATTATTGGATTAAATGGATCACGTGACCATAGAGGAAACGCATATATTTAGAAAGTAGCTGATGACTAATAATCTCTGTTTCTAGTCTATCCTCTATTTCAATTCGGATCTCCATTCTACTCTATTCACTATACTATTTCTCTATTCGGATCACCATACAGATTATTGTTCGAGCTAGTATTATCGTGCAAGTACTATTAGTTCGAGTGTTATTCGAAGGCGTCTGACACCAGTATTGTTAAACGGCGTTACTATAGTTGTATCGGCGATTACAAAGTCTCTACTACAACGAGCATTACGAAAGTGACAATAAGTATTCGTTGGAATTACAAAAGTGACAAGTGTTCATTGACATCACAAAAGGTTCATATTGAGAGTAAACGGACATAAGTTCGTATTGAAACGAAATTGACAGTTTCATATTGGGAACAAATTGAAAAAGAGTTGCAGGTTATTTAAAACCAGAAAATATTTTTAGATTGTAATAATTTTTTTTTCTTGAGATACTAATAAGTCTTACTAATTAATAGGTGTGGAGAGAACAAAGGGATTCATAACTTTCCCAACAGTATTTGTGCGTAAGTGAATATAACATGAATTAGAACTAGGTCCTCCGAATAACATTTCCGAGCCATTATTCATTATTCATTGCACCACTCGCACACTTACAGCACCTGGTATTCTCAAATGGTTACTCATCTAATTACTGACCAGGCTCGACGTTGCTTAATTCGGTGATCGTACGGGAACCGGTATTTCAACGTGATGTGTCCGAAAGCCCGAGTGTGTTAAAGATTTGATCGTGTAACCACTAAATTTCTTTTGAGTATCACCAGGGTTACACTAAATTTCTTTTGAGTATCACCAGGGTTACACGTACCTCGGTTTGAGAATCCCTGCTTAGACTATATAGGTTGTTGTTATTGTTGTTGTTTTCTTTCTTTCTGTTGTAGAGTAGTTTTCACAGTGGAGGCTTGTATTTCACTAAGTCGGTCCTAAAGGGTTTGACGTACAAAAACGTTAGGAACTTGAAAAAATAGTTAATGACGCAGCAATCTAGTTGTGGGGTTGATACTTAAGGTCCGACATCGACTGAATCCACCAACTCAAAATGGAGCCCGCGACTTATAATTTATTATCTGTGGGAGAGTCTATTAACAATAGAATAGGTATGTTCCGGTATAACACTTTCTTTCTTTCTTTTTAAAATATTATTAAAGGAACGACATTTTTTCTTTCTTTAGTCTACGCCACATGATTCCTAACAGTTTAAGAAACGGGATACCTGAACGAATACTCAATATGACCACCGGCAAACATCGAATCACATCTTTCAGATCGTCAACACGCAACAATTTTTTTCCCGTCCAGCAAATATTTGTCACGTTAAATGATCATTTGAAATAAAAACAAGGGCACTTTGACGTGGTGTAATGGTTAGCAAGGTTATCTTCCTAGAACAATTACGACTGAGTAGTGAGTTCAGTCCTCACTAGGTGCTCCACACGTTCGGCTTTGTGTCACATCTAAGCTGCGCTTAGAAAATCAGGACACTTTGACGTGGTGTAATGGCTAACAAGCTTGGTTCGCTAAATCAATTACGACTGCATTGTGTGTTCGATTTCACTGTGTGACACATGCATTCGGCCTTATCTAAGCTGCGCTTAGAAAATCAGAACACTTTGACGTGGTGTAATGGCTAACAAGCTTGGTTCGCTAAATCAATTACGACTGCATTGTGTGTTCGATTTCACTGGGTAGCCCATACTTTCGGCCTTAGAATATTAACATTTGAAAGTAAAAGCTAATTCGATATTTTTTACCTTCGATTTTAACCCTCTAAAAGCCAGTTTCGATTTTATCTCAGTCTCCTTTTGATTAACATATTTTATTATAATCTAGAAGTGATTAACACTTGGGTTTTCGGGGGTGCAATACAAATGTCACCGCAACGTGAGAGTGGGGCCTTGAGAGATTAAGCGAGATAAGTTGAATTAACCTATTCTTCATCTATGTGCCTTGTCTGCTCAGGATGTTGGCGATCATGACTCTCCACAACTTCCTGTATTTTTTAGCTCTTAGTAAACGTGGCTTTTTGATTATCTTCCCCTGTCCTTGTATTGCAACCCGTAAGGATGCTTATGCGCTGCCTTGTCTTTGTCTCTCTGTCTTAACATGTCCCAGGAGTCCTGTGAGCTTCAGAATTTCTAAGCCCTCTTTCCTCACTAGGGGTCTTAGGAATTTTAGCTGTCTTTGTGATTCCATTTTCCTTAAAACATCGTCGTTGCTCACACGTTCAGTCCAGCATATTTCTGTAGAACCACATCTCTGTTGTCTCTATGCACTTATTCATCTGTGAGGAGTTTGTCCAGCATTCACTGCCATAGAGCTAGAACGATATTGCATAACAGAGCAGTACCCTTTAACACATAAGCGATCATGGCTCTCCACCGATTCTTTTCTTTATACCATACTAGCAGTAGAACCCGGCGTTGCCCGGGGATGTAATAGTAAGAGATAGATCAAGTATCGACCATCATAAAGACTGAAAAATAAAATTGACAAAGATTATTGTATAAGGTTGACGGATACACATGTCTTAATTAGTTTTTTGTTTTGTTTTGTTTTTTGTTTTACGAATTGGTCAGACCCAAACTCAAACAAAAACATTGTTTTCAATCGTTATGAGTCTACTGATTGAATAGAATTTTATTATAAACAATTGTCTTGTAAATGGAATTTTTAAAGCATTCTGAATGTAAAAATCAAGAAAAAAGTGTGCAAGACAATAAGAAACACTAGCTGCCAAAAAGTGAAGTTTTGTTGAAATCGGTTGAAAATGTAGGAAACTGATCCCATATATAAACGAACGCACACACACAAACAACCTGGGTTTTTATAAGTATAACGATATGAGTTGTCCCCTTTCATTCTCGCAATGTTTTTAATCGTGTTTTAAATTGATTTTGTGCAAAAACAATTGTGTTTTTTCCCATTTTCTGGCGCTGTCAGAACCACCGCAAGGTAATTTTAGGTAGTCCTGTGAAGTTTTGTTGAAATCGGTTGAAAAAATGTAGGAAATATACATATATATATATATATAAACGTACAGACACACACACACACACACACACAACCTGGGTTTTATAATAAGTATGATGCTTGGTCATGACTTCCCTGGGAAAAATAGTGTAGTGGTTTCCCGTTGCCATCTTTGCGGTTTTGAATTCAAAGCTATTCGAATGATTTGAGTCGAGTATTTGAAGAAAATCATAAATAGAATTAAAACTATATTTATTGGGTAACTATGGTAGGAATACTTGGTTTAAAATTGTTGATAACTGATGTACGAAGGTTAGGATTTGTTTAATTATGGAATAGAGAGGCGAATTTGGTTTGTGTGCTCTTACGCTCCCATAGTGGGGTTATTACTTGCGCATAATACACAAAAGTTGCAAAATACTCGAAACTCTTTTATTTTTATACTAACGTTCACTCTATACCACGCTGAAGAGCCACTCAAGTTAAAAGTTTACCGTAGAAGGTTATATGGGCGGTAAGCGTATGAAGAAAGAATGGCGAGTTTAGGATGATGTACGGAAAAGATAACGGTTGACCCTAGACTTGAACAGGTAGTAGTCGGGAAAGCATTCTCTTGGAAGCCGATTCCGTAAAATGGTAATTCTTGGGAAGAAGCTGTTTAAGTGAAACCTTCTTACTAAATGGGATACGAAGAGAATGAACCTTGTTTGACTCAGTATACGTGGAGTGACGGTTCTTTTTTTAATCAGTATTACCCTATGAAAGACAGTAAAGCCACTAAGATACAAGGGGTGAGGCAGAATTAGGAAAAGAAACATTAATAATGAACGAGAAGAGGAAAGAGTAATTAGGAGGACAGTAGATAGCGATTGACACTTCGTTTAAATTTTTGCAGATTAAAGTTGGCTGGAAGGCATGGAGCCGAAAGGGAGTTCCACAAGCGGGAAGTGTCAGAAAAGAAAATGTTAGCATAGAATTTACGGTTACATCTGCGCTTAAATTAAAAACATCTAGGTACCATAGTGTTATGGGACCTTACCCATAATAACATAATGGACTATTCCATACGTAATAAATACTGCGCCTCAAGAGGAAGCAGGAATACAGAGTTCAGTCTGAAGTCTGGAGTGAAGTCTGTCAGGAGTCTGTCAGTCAGTCAGAGCGAGCGAGTCAGTCAGTCGAGTCAGAGGCAGTCCGAAACAGAGTCGTGTTCAGACAATTACTACTAAACCTGATTGTTCGTACTAACTCTTTCTACTTCTCTGTATATATTCTTGTTTGTAATATATCTGTGTTATTCTATATCCGTGTTCGAGTTCTTCTTTATTGGTTCTACCTTGGACTATCACCGTGGTACAAGGAACTGGACCATAACACATAGAGAAGAGCTCATCCGAACAATTACAATGAAAATATTTATAGAAAAGACACAAAGGGGCAACGTTAAAGCGGTCGGTAAGTGACTGAAGCCGAGCTGCAAGATCAGGACCAATAATATTGCTGATTCAGACCATATATGACCCGACAGCCTGCCAACTTTCTAAGCAGCTGAATTGGCAATGGATTCAATATAGTCTTTCCACTATTTACATTATTCAGACTGCTGTCTTCATCTTTGTTGCCATATTCACGACGTTTCGTCGATTGTACGCTCCGGCCATCTTCAGGTGATTAGAATTTTGAATTGAACTTTTTATTTCGACTACCGGGGTAGATTGTTCTAGTTCCACGTGTCATGCCTCACCCGGATGTCTCAGTTATTTCCCTTTATTATTTTTGTTCACCAGCTAGCCAGGTACTGAACCCAAGACTCTATGGGTTAAGTCACTGGATTCAACCAACGCTTTTATCCACCTTGCATATCAATTTTTGGACTTATAAACTTAATGTTTCGGTTACTTTTTTTTTTCTTTTGGCAGTTTTTGTTGTCATTATTGCTTTTCTCTAGCCCTCAGTATTACTGGTTCCCATATTGTATTCATTTCTATGCTTGGTCAGCTTAGGAGATTTTTGTGGCCTAGCATATCTGCTGATTCCTTAAATTTTCGTATTTTCCAGTAATGTTCTCTGTGTAATATTTCAACCTCATCCCACAGAGAGTGATGATCTCCCTTTTCCCTCCATATGTGGTCAGCTACGCCTGATTTTTCTATTTCCCTTTACGATGTTCTTGCAGTCTTACCTTAAGGGGTCGGCCTGTTTCTCCTTTATATTTTTTGTCACAGATGCATGGGATGGCGTACACACACAAGATGAGGACAACAGACCAAATGTAAATAGTGTAAATAATTACAATACCTCATTTCAGAAATATAGACAGATCCTGAAGAAGGCTGGAGCGTACAACGGCCGGAATGTCGTGAATATGGCAACAAAGATGAAGACAACAGTCCAAACAATGTAAATAGTGTAAATAATTACAATACCTCATCTCAGAAATATAGACAGACATAGACTTTCTACTTCATGTCAGCTGAGGACGTTAGCCCAAGAAGGCGCAACGAGTCATTTTCCTGGAGGTTAGCATCAGCCATGCTGTCAGACGTCAGAGAGTGATCTCTCAGATGAAAAATAATTAACCGGATGGCCGAGTCGAGGCTTTTAAATTCTATCAAATTGTTATTATGCAAAAGAAATAAATGACTTTAAATAATGTATCTTTCACCACAGAAGAGAGTATTTTAAAATTTGTATAAAATATTTAATATGAATAACAATAATTATTAATAAAGCGTTTTTCTATACCATTTAATGCTTACAGCCACATCGCGAAGTTAAGCAACGTCGAGCCTGCCAGTAACTTGATGAGTGACAGCTTGGGAATACCAGGTGCTTTAAGCTTGGATGTATAGGTTGTTTAATGGATAATGACTCGGAATTGTTAATAATCAGAGAGCCGAGTTCCAATTCCAGTTGGGTTCGTTATATTCACTTACGCGAAAATACCATTGAGAAAAGTATGAATCCACTTCTTTTCTCCCCCAGTTATGGGTTAATTAGTATGTCTTGTATCCCTAAACTATTATTGTTTCTCTCTCTCTCTCAAAAAAAAAAAAAATTCTTACAATCTAAAAATATTTTCTGGCTGCAAAGTGTTGATAACAAGAAAATGAATCAATCAGATACAATTTAATGGAGTAAGTGTTCTGTTATTAGATTGATTTGAGTGGAATATTTCAATAAGTTTATTTGTCAAATTGACATTACATTTATTTGATAAGGTGCCCTCCAATGTTTAGGAAGCTTATCTCGCTAGATCTATTACAACTTAGTAGCGAGTTCGATCTTCACTGAGTACTCATTTTTTTTTTTTGGCCTTGTGTCACAAAAAGGCCCGTTTAGGAAATAAAGAGCAGCTTGGTGTGGTCTAATAGTTAGCAAGCTTGTCTTGCCATATCAGTTACTACTGAATAGTGAGTTCGATCCTCACTGAATGTTCGACACTTTTGGCCTTACGCCACACCTAAACTGCGCTTACTCAATCACTATATTTATTTGTTAATTATGACAGAATACTTACGTTTAAATTTGTGAATATGTAAAACGGGGAGAATCTGTTTGTCTCTCTGTCTTTCCACTCTGTTTCCTCCTCGTCCTCCTCTCTCTCAGGCTTTCTCTCTTTGGCTTCCATAAATTCCCCTGATTCAAACCTAGATGTTGCTACTGTGGTTTCCATAGCAAATAGGTTTTAATGGGGTTGAGTTCCAGCATCACGTCTAACCAATTTCTAATTCAGAGTTTTCTCTTCTCCTAGGCAAACTGTCAACCAAAGCTAGGGTATCCAGTCTGCCCTGCTATTTATTCCATAGCTGGGGGTCGGAGATGGAATCGTACTTTTCCCAAGGGTATTTGTGAGAAAGTGAATACAGTGAAATCGGCGGAGATTTGAACTTGATCCACTGATTTTTCTTTTCATTGCACCACCCACACATGCAGCCAGGATGATACTAACCCACAATTTTGTGGGTAGCGATGGATCCGACTTCAATGTTATTATCTGACTTCAGCGTTATAAATCGATTTGTATGTGTCTTGAGGTGGTTGGTGTTGTTTTTGTTCATTTTAATTTAGTGAGAGAGAGAGAGAGAGGGGGGAAGAGACAGAAAGAGAGAGACAGAAAAAGAGACGGAGAAAGATATATTATGGAGCGTTAAAGCCTACGTACTCAGTATATTCATGAGCGAATACACAAAAGGAAACTGTTTACAATGACCAAGTAATAATTATCTACATCGTAAAAAAAATCTACTTTTATTTCTTTCACTTTCCCCTTTATTCTTCGCTACCCCCACTGGTCCACTCGAGTGGAAAGTCTCGCCATAAACTACACACGTGCTAAGCGCATCATTATTTGGGGTCCTAAAAGATCACAATAGATGTTTCCTTTTTTTCCCGTTGACGTGAAATTGGGGCATATTTAGACCCCTTTGTAAAGTAAGATACTTTTTTTTTTTTTTTGTTTTTAAATTGATACCTTAGAACATTTTTTTTTAAATAAAGGATTTGGTCTTTTGTTTATTAAAGGTCTGTGTTTTATATGTTTTTGTTATTTCCAAGGAAACATTTGGTGTCCGGTATTGACATTATCCATATTTGATAACGGATTTACGCGTAAAATTTGGACCGAAAGTTAAAATTCTTGCCGAGTCTATTGTGACCGCTTTCGCACAAATAACCTTGGGAAAGGTATTAATCTATTTCTTATATTAGCAGCACACGTAGGGCTCTCTAGCTTTGGTTGCTAACCAGTCTAGGAGAAAGACAACTCTGAATTCAGAACTTGTTTTGTGTAGGGCAAGCAAACCCTGTAAAAATTCACAGTAGAATGAAAAGGTCTGGATTTTACAGTGCAGCCAAAATTTTGATATAGGTTCTTTTTTTATATACTAGACTGAAAAATGTAAGCATAAGTCCGGTTTGCTCTAGAGTCAAGAAGGTAGACAGATCTAGTCTAACGAGAATCAAAAAGGTACACTCAGGTTCGGTTTACACTAGAGTTGAAAATTTAGACATAATTTCTGTTTACTCTAAAGTCGAAAAGGTGGATATAAAGTCTGCTTTACACTTGAGTAAAAAGGTAGACATAGGTTCTGTTAGAATCCATAACGTAGACATAGTTCCGGTTTATATCCGTGTTTGCAATAATCCACTCGGAAGGGGATCGCTTGCAAGAGACGCAGTCGGCGTTTTTTAAACCGCGTAGACAAGGCAATATAGATAAAACATTCTTTAGGCAATATAGTTAAAACATTCTCAGGGTAATATACTTCAAACATTCTCATGGCAATATAGTTGAAGTATTCTCAGAGCAATATAGTTTAAACATTCTCAAGGCAATATGGTTGAAACATTCCAAGGGCAATATAGTTAAAACATTCTCAGAGATTATGCGAATTATTTTAATCATAACCCAATCCTCATTACTGACCAGTTTTTGTTAGCATATTGTTTTAAATTCGACGTAAAAGTGAGAGACAATGTTTTAATGCTTGGAGCAAATACAGTAACCAGCTCAGCAATATAATTGCGACGGCCACCGTTTGCGCAACTTCAATTACAACGATTGGTTGTTACAATGATTGTCTGTTACAATGATTGTCTGTTACAATGATTGGATGTTACAATGATTGGATGTTACAGAGGATTTACTACGTTACCGACACATGCAATATTAACAGGCAATTAAACTAATTGATAAATTAACGTCGAAAAACTACAAGTGTCGATCAGATCGATAAATAAAATTAGAGGTGTCCTTAATTCGTGATTGTTTGAGAAGCTATGTATGTTTTACAATATATCAACTCATAGGGTCATTTAATGTCGAATTTTTTTTTTCCTAAATAAAGCCTCGTAATTAATTTTTTTTTTTAAATAGTAAAACTGAATTTTATGGTTATATATTTTTTAAAATCATATTTTTGAGATCAGTTTAATTTCTCAAAGAAACTGGAATATGCAAAATGGACCAGTATTTTGAAAAAGTTTTTGTTTGGTAGTATTTTAAGCAGACTTTGCTGCAGTTTGACAGTAAGTGTTTTATGGTGAATGACTCTTGGCATGCCACACATACTGGAGGACTTTCCTTTTTTCGGATATAAGAATAGGTTATGGTAGTATGTCTAATATAGAGACTGGACATAATCGCTTCTTCTCTTCTAGTTTGGTGTTTCTGACGCCATTATCCTACAGAAGGTTTAATTTTGTACTGGTTATTGTTTGGGCAGGAGTTCGAGGAGTTATGTAAAGAAATGATGAAATGGTAAACCATTTACTGTTACATACTAATGTAAAGATACTATAAAGAGCTTTTAGCCGGCCACGGCTTATCGAGTTGTAGCGATCAAATAAGTATAATAATACATCGACGCAAGTCGTAGGTATACTTCAGTTGATATGATAGTCATTTTAAACTCCATGATCTTGTCGGCAGTTGCATAGTATGTACTACGCCAGGGCTACAAATTTGAATTCAGACTTCTTTTTCTAGACAGGTTTTCAAACACGGCTAGAGAGACACGTCTACCCTGCTATTTAACCTGTTGCTGGGGTGTGCTCTAATTGATAATTTTAAAATGGATAAGAAACATCTTTGTAGAACTATAGTCCAAAGTTAATGATAGGGAAATCTGTTTAAAGGGTCAGACAGTTTTGCGCCATGTGTGAGGCACGGTTAGGCGATCATGTATCTTTCGATACATGACTGACGAGGCAAATTTTTTTCCGTAGTAGTCCAGTTGCCATCCAAGGCTATAGAACTCAGTCTGTCCTGCTATTTACCCAAGAAGAAGAGGATTTATAGGGTATTAGCTCATAAGTGAATGTAATGGATTCGACTGGAATTCGAACTCAGCTTTCCGATTCCCCAATCTGTTATCCATTACTCCACCTCCTCGACGGTTCTAATAATAATAATCCGGTCTGTTCAACTGTTATAGCTCACAGGAACCACCTTTTTCGGCTATACCTATTTGTGTCCGCTCATAATAATTGTAAATGTGTCCTCAAATGGGACTAAGTTTTTTATTTGCTGATAGAATGTGTCACCGTATAGCCTCTAACAACTTTGGCTCTCGAGTTCAATTGCTGATGTTTTAACGAATATTACTGAAAGAGTCTATCAAGTTTTAGATAAGAATTGTGACGGTCGGGCCATTGTTTTGGACATCTCCAAAGCATTTGACAGGGTTTGGAATACCGGTTTTCTTCACAAGTTGAAAGGTTATGGTATTTTCGGATAGATTTTTGAACTGATTCAATCTTTTTTATCAAATTGCGAAATGGAAGTTGTCCTAAACGGCCACTCTTCTAGATCATTCCGCAGTAATACAGGTGCCTCCCGCATAGGCTGTTTCTAATTTTCATCAATGACTTCCCTAATGGCCTTAGTTTTCATTTCGGTATCTATGATTTCACGCTTTTTCCATGATCAGACAAACTGGTTTATTTTTTTAAATCCAGGGTCACATATACATACAACTGAATATTATATATATATATATATATATATATATATATATATATATAAAGACATTTTTTATGTTTATACGTTCTTTTTATAGATACAAATATTTAAGTAAATGCTCTGTTTATAATAAACAGTATTAACGAGATTTACCGGTCTATGTCCGAGAAATTTTCATAGAAGATATGCGTCCTCCGACAGGAATCGAACCTGAATCCTATACAAGTGTTTACTTCTGTCTTAATAGTAAATCTAATCAGTTCGATAAGGTCAAACTGGAAGCTGATCTAAAAAAAATTACCTATAATCTGTTATTAACTGAGATAAGGAATGGGTTGTTGATTTTATTACCTCCAAAACGAAACTATGAAGCATTTGAGATACCTCTTTCTGCCATCAGCATGGCTGATGCTAGCCTCCAGGAAAATATGAGGTTGATATACCGTTAAACAACCAGATCAAACCAAGCCATTATATACTTGTTTCTTTATTCATTTTTAAAACAGTAAAATCGAACTTGATAACCGAAAACGCTCGTCTGTGGCTCAATCGGTAAAGCACGTCAGGCTATATGACAGTTCCGTATAAGGTTCGATTCCTGTCGGAGGACGCATATCTTCTATGAAAATTTCTCGGACATAGACCGGTAAATCTCGTTAATACTGTTTATTATAAACAGAGCATTTACTTAAATATTTGTATCTATAAAAAAGAACGTATAAACATAAAAAATGTCTTAATATATATATATATATATATATATATATATATAATATTCAGTTGTATGTATATGTGACCCTGGATTTCACGCTTTTTCGATGATCAGACAAACTGGTTTATTTTTTTAAATATTAAATCTATTTTTGATACTTGTTTGAGTTTGATTATGTTTGGTGGTGGGAGTGGGGAATTCTCTGTGCTCGTTTTGGGGTGACACTCTCACACATACAGACGGACATACATACAGGTGTACGCATTTTAGTTCACGCAAGCACACCCATATAAACAATCCGAGTTTAGGCGCAGATACACATCCATGCATTCAAGCATACATATATATACGCAACTGTAATTCTATTTCAGTGTCGAGACTGTATGTAACGATGTCCTTTCAATGAGGGGCAGGTTGGGATGTCTTTGACTCTTTTCAGATCGACCGCCTTCGT